TGCAGTCCAAAGGATCTAGGTTGGGGTGTCGTTTGGTGTGGGGGACGCTGACGGCGGCGGTGCTGCCGTCGCCTTGGCTAAAGCGCGACGGGCCCCAGGTTGGCTGTCAATGGATAAATGCAGAGGAGGAGGCTGGGAACGGCCTCGAGCCGGAGGTGCCAAGGCCATGGGGCCGTGGGAGAGGCGGTGGCCGTGCCAGGCCGCTCCGTGCGCCGCGCCGGGGCCGCAGAGGCGTGAGGAGCGCGCACAGATCAGCCCCATCTCCCCAGAGCCATCTGATAAAGGAGAGCGCGCGGCCGTGCCGGGGTTTGCTCCGCTGCCAGGGCCTTTCCGTTTGCCTTGTGCCCGAGCCAAGCTTCCAGCCCTAGGCCCGGCTTTCCTCCTTGATTTTGCACCCGCGGAGGCTGGAGGCCTTGGGCAGCGCTGGCGAATTYGCTTGCTGGGCCGGCGAGCGAGGCTGCCGCTCGCCGGGGAATTCACCGCTGAGCTGCGACAACAGGGTCCAACTTTCCTAGTCTGTCTCATTTCAGCACAGCCTCGTGCGAGATGCATTTAAATAGCATAAATACAATGCAGTGGCTTTATTAAGGATTAATAAGCTTTATTAAACGTATATTTGTCTGCTCCGTGTTGACTGGAAGCTATGAAAAATGTGATGTTCCTATTGCTGCAGGTTTAAATGATTGCCTGCATATGTATCCATGACAATATCTATTCATCTTCTCTTCTTTATATATGTTTTTTATTATAAATATCTTTATTCTAGTGGAACATTTTAATATTAAAGTTGAGGCAGTGGAGTGCAAATTGGAATAGGTCAAAGGAAAATCAGATATCTGTATCTTAAATTTATTCCAAGTACTTTGGTATTGATAAGGAAAATCTCATTGTTGTCTATATGTCAAGACATGGCAGTCAAGACATTAGTTCTGGCTCTGCAGTCCAAGCGAGGCTTGCATGCCAGCATTCCAAAGTCTGAAGCGAATACTCTACCAGAGTGATACACAGAAATTGAATTAATCCATGTTGTTGGGAGTTTTTATGGCATAAGTACATATATGGAGTTTCAAGAACAGAGTTATTTTCCATAATCATTTATCTCGAGCATAGGAAGCATATGCATGATTATATAATTAACAGAATATTTGTTTGTCAGTGTTTGGTTAGTGTGCATAATAATATCATTATTAGGCCTTCTGTGCTCCTGTATTATCAGATTGTTATCTCCCTGCTCCTTTAATTTACTGTGTCTGCTTTTTAGATTAATCACTTTGTTTTAATCTGAAGATTTTAAGGTATTTTGACCATGAAGGGAGTGGTTTGTGACACCAAAGCAAAAGCATTTATAGAACTGATTTAATCTTTTTTTTTTTTTTTTTTTTGGTTGTTGCTGTTGACATACCTGGTAATCATTTTTACAAGGTGGTGTTTTACTCCGCAGATCCTTTTCCAAAATATATTTTTAAATATCTACTCTGGTCTAACCAGCCCTGTATCTCTCAAATTATCTTCACTGTCCTTATTCTCCATCATGTTGCAGGCAGCATATTGCCAGTTCAGCCACTCTCCTCTTTCATGATTTTCTCTTTTAATGGTCAGTCTTGCTGTCTACTAGGGTATTCTGTAAAGATGAAAAATGACACAATGTTGTTATTCTCCATTGTTCCCACAAAGTTTGGACCCCACTACTGGTTATCCTCCAGCTGTTCAAATATAATTGTTCCCCCATCTACTTTTTTTTTTTTTCTTTTTTACTGAATAATATTCTATCTCATTGGAAAAGAAAAAAAGATTGGTTTCTAAATAAACAGCCTGCTAGACAGTTATCCCTTGATCATGTGTTACGGAAGATGTCACCTACATTTTCCCTTGTTTTCTTTGTGAAGCATGCTTCTTGTTTTCCCATTTTCAGCACTCTCAGTAACAATCTTAGTAACCTTTTTAGGACATGCAACATATGTACAACTTTTCATGTTTCCTTTATTTTCCACCTCTGCTTGCACTCCTTTGAATAACAACATTATATAACATTGTATTCATTTTGAAGCATTGCATTTCTTTGCTTCTGAGATTATAATCTATTTTGTGCATTGCCGAATAAATATTTCATGCATTTCACCCTATTACCGTTTCCCTCTTCCTGCATGCCCTGTATGCTGTTTGTGCTTAGTTCAGTAGACATCAGCTTGTTTCTTTACCCGGTTCGGATGAAGTACTGGAGTTAGGGTAATGCATCTGTAATGATAATTTTGCTTTTCATTTTGGATTAATTTCGCTGTTTTTTATTTAGAAGCCTCCCTGTCATATTTTGCTTTTGTGCATTACAAAATCATTATTAGCCTCCCCCTCTTAGTTTTTCTGCTGCTTCAAGCCTGCACATTCAGCTCGTGCTTTTCCCCCCTCCAGAAGTTTCTATCCTAAACATTTCGGCTATCTAGCCGCGTGTGCAGTAGTTCATGTTTTCTTTGCTCTATGATGTAACTCTCGAAACACTAGGCATTTTATCAATAAAGAACTTTAAATTTTCCCTTATCTCTTAGCCTGTACAAACTTGTTGCTTACAAGTTTGTCTAGTTGGGTTACTTTTTTTTTTCCCCTTTTTTTTTTTTTCCTCCCCCTCCTTGGTGCATTGTGGGAAAAAAAGTTATGCCCGTCTCGTGGTTATTTATTTTGTCAATACGCTGCCACCTGGATTTATTTTTGTTGTTTTTTATTGTTTTTATCGCTTTCCATGCGCCGGGCCCGGCCCTGCGGAGGGGCGGCCGCGGCCGCGGGGGGGGCCGCGCGTGGCCCTCGCGGACACGAGCGCGGGGCGCGCGCGTGGCGCGGCCTCCCGCGCGCGGAAACTGCCCGCCTTGCGCCGAGGCGGGCGGAGCGGCGCGGAGCGGAGCGGAGCGGRGGCTGCTCCCTTCCCACCTTCCCCGTCCTTTAGAGCGCGGCCGCCGCTTTCCCTTCCCCTCCCTTAACGTGCGGGGGGCCGGGAGGAAAAATTAAAGCGAGTTTCTCCGCCGCCGCTGGGCCAGGCCGCGGGTTCTCCGCGCTCTCCCGCAGCCGCGGAGCCCCTGATGACTCCGCGGTGCCGGGGGGGAGAGTGGGGGGCCTGCGCATCCTCCGCGCTGCCACCCGCGGCCCCCGCCCGCGCCGTGCACCTGCCCGCCGCGCAGCCGCCGCGCAGCCTCCGCGCGCAGGG